GGGCTGGGGAATTCTGGGAGTTGAAGTCCACATGTCTTCAAGTTCCCAAGGTTGGGGAACACTGCTGTAGAGGGCAAACCTTTTTGCACGTTGCTGTTGTCCTTTCAATATGCATATTGAATGAATATTTATTTGTTTGTTTGATTGATTGATTTATATAGCTGCCCATCTCACACAGATGACTCTGGGCAGCATACAAGAATTAAAAGCATGAAAACTGCAATATACAACCCCCAGCACCAAAGGATAAAACAATGACCCCACTTACCAAAAAAAAAACACATTAACAGCAGCAGAGCTCCTGACCCAAACACCTGGGAAAACAGCCAGGTCTTGAGTGCCTTGTGAAAGGCTAACAGAATCAGAGCCATCCAAATATCCAGGGGATTGCTGTTCCATAGGGCAGATGGTGGCACTGAGAAGGCACAACTCCAGGGTCCAGCAAGATTACATTGTTTGATAGAAGGAACTTGGAGCATGTCCTCTGTGCTAGATCTGGAGAGGTCAGCAGAGACAATGAGAGAAAGGTGGTCCCACAAATAGCCTGGCCCTATAGGTGAAACACAAAGGATTGCCAATGTTGCAAAAGTTGAGAGAATGCCAACATCTCCATTAAATTATTCACCATAGACAGCATCCATCAAACAAAGGAAATGTTCAAAGTTTGTTAAATAAAATTAAGAGGGAAATAACTTTAAACCCCCAGTTCTTCATTCTAGATCAGCCCTTCTAGATCTAGTACACTCCAGATGTGTTGTACTGCAATTCCCATAACTCCCAACTAACATGTCCCATGATAATAATTGCTCAAAAACTAGCTAACCTTTAAACTATAATGGCAAATTTATCAGATCATAATTAGTAAGAAATTTCTTCAAGGAATTGGCCACATTCATTATTGTGGCATATTCTTACAAAGGGTTGATATTTAGCACAGCTCACTTAAGTTTTAGAGCCAAGACCAATAAGGAATGGTTGCCCAGGCATTGCCAAGGAAACTCACACCTTTAAATGGCGTTGTTTTAGCATACAAAATACAAACTTTTCATGAATTTATGTTTATAATTTTAGATTGAAGAGATCTAAAGTAATAACCAAGGCCATCCAGAAGATGCACAGCTGTAAATTCATTTAGCATATTATTTAGTGGACACTGGAGTTGTGACAATAAAGCCCACAGAAGCAACACTGAAACCAAAAGCTTGACACTCTGCTTTTACACTTTTATTGCCGAAAGATGTAACAGCAAGGATGAGCATTTTGTAATCTGTTCAGTTACAGTGCCAAGCTATTCTGCATCCAGTTTTTCATGGTAGTATTAAGCAAGAAGTCCAATTAAGATGAGGT